CCCCAAAACCCCAAAACCCCACGATGTATATGTTTGAATTATTAGAAAGAAATCAAAATTAAATATCAATAATTATCTCAATAGAGTAAAATTTTTAAGTGGTTATTATCATTTTGTGTTTAAAATTTGACCTGATTACTAGAACAGATCAGAATTGCTAGAAGTCTACTCATAGCTATCATCTTACTATGTTATAGTTTGTTCATAGATAGAGTCACCCTTAGATATTACTGATTAGTTAAAGTCCACCTAGAAACTAGTTTCTGATCTTGGGTTTATAACTGAATATGCCAACTTATCTTTTAATGCCTTATCTAGAGCGCTATATTTCTGAGAGATTAGTGGCTTTAAATCAATCAGACTCATCCTTTGTTCATTCTATTGCTGCTCTAAGAATCCTTTTTTTTTAATTGAAATTTTACTTGTTGTTGAATTTTTTGGAGGTAACTTCATTGAACCCAATCTCTGCTTATTATCTCGTTCAAATGTGAAACTTTGGCCTTATGGTGTCTTGCTTTGAGGACTTATAGTTGGACTAGTAAACAAATTCTGAGTTTTGTTATTTCCTGCTTTAGAAGATGCATTCTTACTATCATTGGTATTCACTCGTACTTTTGGGGATGATAACATAGATTCTTTATTATTTTTAAAACTACCTGAATAACCTTTCTATTTCTGAAGCTTTTTGCTAATAATATCATTATAGAACTTTTCAATTGGAATCATTCCAATATCCTCTCTAACACATAGTACACCATTATGAATTTTAGTTACAATTTTTTAATCCCCAAATACATATATGTTTAAAGTTACTCTCTCAATAATAAATTCAGGCTTCTGTTTCTAGATAAAATTTTGCATTAACTTATCAGATAAATCCTTATATTTACCTCCTTGACGTCCTTATTTTTTCTTGCCTGTTCCTAGCTCCTTGCATTTTTATTTTATGTCAATCTTCAGATTAATAACATTATCTTTAATTTTCCTAAGCTCAGGTATTCTCAATGTTAATTGCTTTATCTCAATCATTTCACTAGTATCATCCATAACTTACTAAAGTCTACTTTTATAACTTTAGGACATTAGGTTGTATCCTATAAGCTCCTTTAATCCTTATTCAACCTGCTATAAGTTAAGCAATAATTTACTTTTATCTTTATTTTTTTCTTTAGGAGATACCATGGAATATTATTCAATAAATTCTCTTAATTCTTAGCACTTCTCGTCAATCTTTTTTAAAGATGCATCAATAATTTTCAAAGAAGTTTCATTCTCAAGTCTTAAAAGCTATAAAGTAACCTATTTTTGCTTTTTTATCATTAAGCCTAATACTTTCAGTTCACATTTTTTTAGTTGCTCAGTGTTCTTTGATTCTATTTCTTTCTTTAGTTCTAAGATATCATCTCTAAGTTACTGTGCCTTTTTCAATGTATCTGACTCATCTTATTCTGAATCTAATCTTAAAGTAGCTTTCGGGGAAAAATTTGGGGATTTCAGGACTGGTTCATTTATTTCAGTTAATATCTATGATTAGTTCTAGTTTAAATCGAGCCTCTTTTTCACTAACTTATCTTATATTTCCTAATTTAAATCATCAATTTTCTCTTCCATTTGGTCTGAAAGTTTTTCAACATACATATCACCCAATTACTATCTTATTTCTATGGCAACCACTTTAATTTTTTTGTATTTTTACCTACATTAATCCTTTAAAACCTTTAATTCTTTCATCTCTGATGTATCTTACTTTATGACATCTTGATCATCAAATTTCTTATCCTTTTACTCTTTATATGTTTGAAGTATTCCCTAGAATTTCTTTTAAATTTTGGCAAATATCAATATCATACCAACAAATTTTTTTCTTGAGTCTTATACTATCCTCAAAATATTTCTTGCGATGAGATCATCGTAGTTGATATTATTGATCATATGTTATTCGACAAATTCATCAGCGTCAATTATCTCCTAAAATAAGTTGGTAATACCTCTACTTATAACATCCATATCCTTATGAATTGTCTGTATATTTTCTTCATAGTCTTCAATCATATCCCAATATGCTCTGAAATTCATGAAATCGATAAATATGTCTTTGAAGGCTTGATCGTTTTTTGCGTATACTTGCTTTAATTCCTCAAAGCCTTCCTGATATTTTTCTATTTCTTAATTGATATCTTTATTTTCTTCAATCAGGTTTAGATCAAGATCAATGAATTTTGTCTCTAAATCTAACTTAAGCTGAAACATGTCAGCAACATTTAGGTCGAGCAAATCACAGCGATCCAACAGGCCATCCTATTAAAAATAACTAAATAAAGACTTTTCTATGGATTTTTATAAAACTTTTTTACTCATTTAGATACTTTGATTGCTTACCAAGAATTACTTTTTTGTGACTTTTTAGTCCTCAGTGATCCTTTTTGAATGTTTTAATTCCTTAATAGTAGGTTTAAGACTAACATTGGTAAATTCAACCACTTTATCGCTCAAGATTTTCATCTTATTCTCCATTATTATTTTGTTGTAATCTATCTTCATAATTGACTTTTCTATTTGAGATAGGTAATATCAAAAGAGAACTTACCGATTGAATGGTTGAAAGAAATAGGACCATGAGTTGTTGCTAGTGAAGAATGTTTATGTGAAATGTTATTGCTAACATCCATCGGCTGAGAGCATATAATTCCCATCTCAGAATAATTGAAGTAAAATTTTTAAATTAATAATATTTATAGTTCTTAGGAGATAATATACTACTATAATTAGTTACTATAATTATCTGTCAACCATTTTGCCAATTAATTCGTTTAAATATTATAAATGCTCATCATTATCCTAATTTTATCTGGTGGGGTTTTGGGGTTTTGGGG